CTCGCCCTTCCGCTGGGTCTGTCTGTGTCGCTTCCGCCGCCGTTGGCGAGGAGCGGCGCCCAGCCGAGCGTCCCCCGGCGCCCGTGGCGTCCCCGCCGCTGCAGCAGGCCCCTTGCTCGATTTTCGCGTTGGACGTGCCGTAGGTAGGGCTTGGGTAGCAGAGGAGGGTGCGATGAGGTGGCGGACGAAGAGGAACTGTGAGTCTGCAGTGCGGGGGGGAAGCCGCAGGAGCCCAGAGGGGGTCGGTGTACCGAGCCTGGACCCTCGGTGACTGCACAGGCGATCCCTTTGCGAGTTAACTGTCTTTCTTCCCTTTAGCAGCCGGCAAGTTCTCTGTCAGGGCGCAGGGGTGCGGAAGGTCAGGACAGGATGAGGGATAGTTCAGCATCCAGCTCAGCTTCTTCATCAGTGACAGATCTGTACTGCACCCCCTCCAGCAGTAGGTCATGCCTCTTCCTCCCGAGTACAGCAAGAGACTTCAGCTTGAGTGCCAGCTTATCAGCTTGTATGAGGCCTTATGAGGTACCTTCCAACAGGGCGCCCTTCTGGGCTCAGAAAATCTTGGGGAGTGAGCATTATTTTTTTGCTTTACGAGTAGTTCTTAAGTAAACTTTGCATTTTCGTTCCAAAATAAAGAGTTAGCTTGAAAATGTCTGAGTTTGTGTGTCCTAGTGGGACTTCCAGCCCACTTGTTGTGTTTTTCCTTGTCTGGGAGTTAAGAGAGAAATGCAGAGTACAGCCTACCAGTGTGGCAGGACACAAATCATTCTGTTCCACTGGCTGGAGTTACTGTTTGTCTGTAATGCTGATTTCTAAGGAGTCTCTATCAGGTTTTTACTAGAGTAGGCAAACACAGGCTAAAAAAAAAGGCAATCCTGACACTTAGTGATATAAGAAAAGAGATAAGGTAGAGAAAAATGGAAAAAGTAGTGGTCTCAATGTGTGGTGACTTAAATGTTTTTATGTACAGTTTTCCTGAGTGGTGACCTGGACAGTCAGACTCTCCTTTGCACCCTCCCTCCCTTTCCTTCATGCAGACACAGCAAAATCAATAAAAACAGAAATAATTTGGTGTTGGTGGGGGCAAGGTGGTTGTCATTTTTGTCCTTTCTAAGGTCCACTTGTGCAATTTACCCCAAATCAGGTGTTTTTGGTAATATCTGCACATATTCAGCACTATATAAGAAAACATTCGCGTTCAGCTTGGTTTTCCTGAGTTTAAACGAGTAATACGTATGGGGAATGTTCAGCATGCTTCTGACTAGGAGGAGGAAAAGAATTTTGTGATAGAATACCAGTTTTGTTTGTGGGACTGCATGGTAGGTTGGTCTTAAATGAGAACATGCACAGTTATTGTATTGATGCAGTTGTACTGAGGTCACTGTACTGGTATGATTCCTTATGTGGTTCAAAGCAGTGCAAGATATACTGGGAGGATAAAATTCTGTTGTTCCTGCACAAGGGAATCTAACTTAACAGTTGGACTCGGATAACTACAGTAGGATAGCTCAACTGATGGTAAATTTTTGCAGTGCAGATAAATTTTTCCCCAGTATTTGTTAGAGATTGTGGAATTGCCATTCTGGATTCTGTTCTTTACATTTTTTAATGCTTTAAAAAGGTGTAACAGTTGTTGTCTTCTCTCCATGCCCCTCCCCGCCCCCCCCCCTTTTAAGCATTAAAGCAGCTTTGAAAGGTTCTGGTTAATTTTTGGGGTACTTTTTTACTTTTGGAGCTTCTTGAACTGAGTGTAAATGCCTGCTCTTGCCCAAGGAAGAGAAATGGGAATGTCACTTGGAATTTAGGACACGTGCCTGAGTTACTTTGTACAATCAGATTTATTGACCCCTTCACTTTCTTGCTTGATAAGCTACCAAGCAAAATAAAACGCTCTGTGCGAATGCTGTGCTGCTTGATTTAGACAAAGCGTCATGCTGAGTAGTGGTGTTACTAG